CCCCCCTGCCAGTTCGCCGAACATCAGTCGTTTCGGGAGTCGCCCGTCCGGCTGCCTTGCCAATGCTCCCGCGAACAGGAGGCGTCGTTGTCGGATCGTGGCTTCAACGCTCTGGCATTCGACCCCTTCAGCGTCTGGGCGTAAAGAGAGCGGCCGGAAGGTGTCGTTCTTGTGCTGCACCCGATGACTCGGAGGAGCAGTCGGTGGTGTATCGACAGCAGCGTCTGATAGTGGCCGCTGAGTGGTGACCTTGTCATGCAGCTGTACAGCAGTGCCTCGATCGCCTCCGCCTGGAGCAGGCGGATCTTGAGTCGGAATGGCGCTTTCGGTCTGTCGAAGAGCTCCCAGCCATATCGCCTGGGGCACGCCCACGCTCCCTTGCTCCTGTAGTTGATATCCCGGGTGAGGTCGCCATGTTCGTTGACGAGGGCACCGAGGTACCGGAACTCGGTCGTCTGGGCGTATTTCTGTCTCGCGGCTTCGATGGTCAGCGGTGGAGGCGNTCTTGAGTCGGAATGGCGCTTTCGGTCTGTCGAAGAGCTCCCAGCCATATCGCCTGGGGCACGCCCACGCTCCCTTGCTCCTGTAGTTGATATCCCGGGTGAGGTCGCCATGTTCGTTGACGAGGGCACCGAGGTACCGGAACTCGGTCGTCTGGGCGTATTTCTGTCTCGCGGCTTCGATGGTCAGCGGTGGAGGCGGGGGAGGGCTGTGATGTTGTAGTCGGCTTGTCCTTCGCGCGCATCAGGAGCGTCTCCGTCTTCTTCTCCGATACCGTCAGCCCGAACTCCCCGAACACCTCAACGATGATGGTCATCATTCTCGCCTGTCCTTCTGCAGACCTCGATACGACGCCGGCATCATCGGCATACAGCATCCCCCATACTGCCCTCCGTACTCGGTCAAGGGGTGTCTCCTCCCCCCCCCCGGGCTTCCGTCTTCCCCTCCTTCAAGCACACTAGCCTCCGCAGAACAACATCATCCTCGCTGAATCGGATGACAACGACCTCGAGGACCTCGGCGAAGAAGTTGTTGAACAGCAGTGGGGATAGCACACATCCTTGTCGCACGTCCTGTGTCACGAAGAACCAGTCCGATAGTTCTCCGTCGTCCATGCGCACCCGGGCCCGCATTCCATCGTGGAATTGGCGGATGACTTTGATCAGCTTCGCGGGAATCCCGGCCCTGGCCACAACCTTCCATAGCATCTCTCGGTCCACCGAATCATTCGCCTTCTTCAAGTTGACGAAACACATGTAGAACGGTATTTTCGTTCTCCGCCCCAGCTCCTGGAGGCGGCGCACGACGAACAGCATGTCGACGGTGGATCGCCCGGGTCGACATCCGCCCTGTTCCTCCAGGAGGATGTTATTGGCTTCGCAGAAGGCGCTTAGACGGTTGGTGATGATCTTGATGGGGACCTCGCCTACTTGAGATCGTAGCGAAATCCCCCTGTAGTTGTTGCAGTTGGACCGGTCACCCTTCTTGTACAGCACCTTGATGGTTGCATCCTTCCACTCTCGCGGGATATCTCCTCCGTTCCACACCTTGACGAGGATGGTATGGGGGTGTCCCAGGACGAAGGGTTCGTCGTCATCGATCTTGAGCAACTCGACAGGGAGGGAGTCATGGCTGGGTGCCTTCCAGTTCTTGAGGCCTTTCGTTGCCCGTGCCACCTCCTCAAGGTCTGGCACCTCTCCCCACCGTTGAGTGTCACGTGTCGCTGGCAGCTGCGTCACTCGATCGATGATGTCTGGGTTCAGGGTGGGGGATTTGGTATTGAGTATGGTGCTGAAGAATCTCGCCCACCGCTGTAGATGTCGTCCCTGTTCTGGAGCAACACGCCGTTCTCGTCCGCGACGAACTGCTGCCCCCCCGCTTGTCTCCCGCTGAGGCACACTGATCTCTTGAAGTGTTGGTACAGTCCTCGTATGTCGCGATCTTTGTAAAGTGCTTCGAGTTCAGTCCCATATCCGTCCAGGTGGGCATGAATGCCCGTTTCGACTGCTGTAGCCACTCCCTCACACGCTGCTTTGAGAACCCTCCACGTTGCTGAGTTCCAGTTGCCCCTCATCGCCCGGCGCGCTTCCCGCCGTTTGGTAAGGGCCTGCTCCAGCGCTGCTCGCGTCTCTGAGGTCTCACACCACTCCTGCGTGCGGCGTCTCCGCGGTTCCTCCCCTAGGGTCGTCCGCGCTGCTTCGAGGAGAGCATTGGTAAAGTCGGTCGCCAATTCCGCGGCGGTGGTTGTTCGCTCGTCCATTCGTGTGTCGAGGTCGAGGAGGAACCGATTAGTCACCGCACATCGTGTTGCTTCGAATTGCAATTCCCGTCGGTTGAAATGCTTCTGTTTCGGTTCAGTCCGGACTGCACGGTTGTGGGCAAGCCTGCCACCGGGGTTGACGGTGGCTACCACCATATTGTGGTCTGAGTCTGCTTTGACTGGGCGAACCGGCTGGGGGATGACAACCACGTTAGATACTCAGCCGTGATGTGCCTGCCTTATCAGGATGTAGTCAAGGCGCTTGCAATCGGTTCCCGACACACCGTTGTATGTGTGCCATATTCCGCCCTTGCCTGTCTCGAAGAACGTGTTCGTGAGAGCTAGCCTGTTTTCCGTTGCGAACTTCAACAGTAGCATGCCATTGTCGTTGAGCTCATCACGCCCGTACATTCCTATTCCCCTTCCGTCCCCTCCGTCAAACCTATCTCCCGTCCGCGTGTTGGCGTCCATTAGGACATACACCATTCTTTGGAAGGGATCCTCCGCACGAGACTGTCAAGTTTTCCCCAGAACACGCGCTTGCTGTCGGCGGTTGAAGTTTCGGTTGGAGCACACGCGGCTACGAAGTTGACCGCTCCACGGTGGCCTGCCAACAGGAACCTCATGGCCATAAGGCGTTCGTCGATAAACTCCGTAGTGAACGTGGGTGTCTTGCACAGTGACTCTTTGACGGCTATCCCCACACCATGGACTCACCCAGTCTCCGTGCCACAGCAGAACACCCCGAAACCCGCTGCTGCAAATTCCGTTCGACCTGCCCTCCGTGTCTCCTGCATCCCTCCCATCGATACGTCTTGTCTCGCTGCCTCGTGTAGGACGCTATAGGCTTGCCCGTATCCATTGGCCCCGTTTACAGCCAAAGTCCGCACATTCCAGGTTGCTACCCTAAGAAGTTGACCCTGCTGTCTATTTCGCGCGGCGCGCGCTGTTCTCTTAGCTAGCCTACGCGCCGCCCGACCCCTCCGTTTCCTCCATCTTCCCCTCTTTTTTTGTGTTTTTGCTATTTTCTTGCGAACATTCGGGCTAATGTGACAGTTACCCCGGTTCTTGCCTTGTTTCCCAAAGAGCTGTCTTCTTGTCCCGGAGCGGTGTGGCCCTCCATCTCTGGACTCCCTCCTTTCCTCTCTCTGGGGCATACCCCCACGGCGTGCGGTCACTCCGCCACCCTCACCGTCCTCTCTGCTGCTGCATAGCCCCCGTGTTCAAACCGGGGCGTTTGGATCCAGTCTCATTTTGCAGCTACCAAAGCTGGCGGTTCACGATCTACCCCGATCTCACGACAGCAGGACTCCCGACGGCCAAACTCAGGATCCCCCTCTCAACAGTGCTAGGGACCGTATATCCGTCTTTGCTGGGTGGTATTTCGAGGTCTAGATCCACTTGCGGAACTTCGGCCTACCCCAGGGACGGGGGGGGCAGGCCGGGGAGGAGGTTGCTGTCATACGTATGCACAGACGTGTTGTTTCGGGCGTGCCGGGCTATGTTGTATGAAGCGATTTTGCTTTGCTTGCGTCACTGTCTACATTGGCACGCAACCAACCAGCTCTCTGTTCTCTCCTCCCGTCTTTGACACCCTTCTGTGTTGTTCCCTCGCTCTGCTTGGCGTGAAATTCGAGAAAGGCTTTCGAGGACGGCGTGTCGTGGGCATCCGTGGGGCTGGCGGCACAGGCAAGGAGCACATAATATCTGTTCGTGCTTCTCAACGTGTTGGTACGCGAAAGCCGGGTTGCGCCTGCACACCTCCCACCCCTACCTCAATCTCGCGTTTAACTTTTCGATGGGAACGAGCGGAATGACCGATCAAGAATGCGTGTCGTTGGGGGAAGATCTCATTTACATGTTCTGCTGAAGGGTTCGAGCGCTGCTCGCATAGGCTTCGAACGATGCCACTCTTGCCGTTTCGGGATGTATTCGCCCCTTTGTTCTGGTTGCTGGCAACTACATTCTTTGTCCGTTGATGGGGTGCCAGTAGCTCGGTCTTGGCTGAGGCCTCCAGCGCGGGTGTACGCCAACCGTTGTGTGGATGTGGGCGTCAGGAATTGTCAGCTCCGAAAAAAACGCGCCCACGATTCGCAGACGTGTTTTCCCGTGTTTCGCGATCCACATCGCGGGCAGACGACGTACCTGTGATGACCCAACTCTCCCACCGACACTGCTTGGCATACATGTCACTTTGGTACCCATTATCGCGGTGATCTGTCAGCCGACAGTTTGTTCGACATGCCGATGACACAAATGATGGCCCTTTTTGTTTGTTTCGCCCTTGCCTCTTCGCGCTTGGCCTATCCTTCACGCATACCACCACACCACACCACACTGCCATATGCGTCGCCCCGTGATAGGCGGTCGTGATTACCGGAATGGGCTGTGGACCGGTGACCCTCCTAGTTAGGTCAGCGGGGCTCAGGGGCGCCTTCCTGGCGGCGGTCGTGTTCCAAGCGACCTGTCTCCTGATCGCGGCGTTCCTGAGACCGGGCCCGTCAGCGTGAGTGGCTCCCGTTCAGTTCCCTCCCGCTGAGCTGAAGAGTGATTATGATCGTCGTGCCATGTCATATTTGTCTCTCTGTTTCTCTCGAAGATCATGGTGAACATGAAGCATAGGAATTAATGTCCTCGTTGGGTGATATTGTCGGCATGTATATTTGGCCTTCATTGTCCTTTATCGAGACGTTCACGCGAGGCAGCCTGAGTACAGGGCGCGAGGTTTTGAGTTTCATGCTTGGTTTCTGCTGCTTCCGCCCCTTTCTCTCGATGCTCCGCAATGCACGGGCCAAGAAACGCACACCAGTAGGTTGCATCGTGCACCGTTAGGACGTGGTGCAGAGGCACAACGCGACGGCTGTTTACACGTTACACCGGCGCCAAAGACGAGCCATACAAGAGCGTTTCGTGGTGTGTTTCTAACCCGCTTCTCACCAACACCGCCCCCCTTTGTGGAGTTCATATTCTGTACTTGTGTCCGGTGGGTTTCGTTGCCCTCGGTGTCACTCTCGCCCAAGAATGCTGGAGTTCGGCTGCACCATCATACTATACGATGCTGGGGGATTTCAAACCCGTGAAGTTGTGCTCCTGCCTCCCCTTATGCCGTCCCTCTCGCGCTCCAAGCCCATTGCTTCGCTCTACACGCTACTGCTGCTGCAGGCCGGCCTTGTCGCTCGTGCTCTTGGCAGTTCTAGGGGTGCCGCTGGCCTTGGCCGAAAGCCTCCCATACATGATGGTGGGCATGTTCAGCCCGCGGGAAACACACGGGCAGTTGTTGGGAAAGCTTAACGTCTGGATAGGTGAGCGAAAGCGTGAGGCACTCAGCCCATGCCCGCGGGGGAACGACGCTCAAAGATAATCACTGAACGGCGTAGGTGTAGTGCTTGTTATGCATGATGACTGTTTTCAAGGTAGTTTTTGGTGTTCCATCGATGACCATTCTTGCTCAGAGGGTCACGAAACAGTATTTTTGCCTGGACAGAACGGCCGTCCACTCAAGCCATTATCCCCTTGCTACTCCGTATCGGTATGTACGGGTTGCCCGAGCTGCTTCTTGGAGAGATAACCTGTGGACTACGGAGAAGTACAATCGTATGGTGTTGTTGATACGAACGGAGGGATTTCTCTCGGCCACAAATGACAGTCTCAATTGTCGAGGGTGTCTTATGTTGATTCTTGCAAACTGCCAACAAACGAAGCCGAGGGTACGGGGCCTCGGAAGACTAAGGACAGTGCGACATTTGATCAAGACTTATCGCATCGTCAGACATGGTAATCCTCTTGTCCCGTTTGATAACGCTCTCGGTGGTGGTTGCCCTATATTCCTGTCCTTCAGTCCTGGCTCAGCTGGCATTGACGCTGTGCGTCCACCCCATCGTCAAGCATTCCAACGACGGGGATGCCTCTGTGCTGCTGGCGGGTGCGCTTGCGGCAGCGGTCGGTGTCGCATTCGGTGCGTTCATTTTACGGTACAAAGGTGGTCGGGAGGCCAACACACAGTGGGCCCGACAGTTTTCGGCCTTGCGTCAGCACAACCATGCGAAGTGTATTTTTTGGCGTTCGCAAAAGCTTACAATCAAGCGCGAGCCGTGTGCAACATGTTCTCGAACTTACGAACGGAAAACGTTCACATTCGAGAACGTTCTTGTTCCGCTTGTGCAGATGGTGGTTTCGGTCGTTGGGTCGGCTCTTTGGTCAGGGTGCTGTTTTGCGTATCTCGTTGATGTCCCTCCCGTTGAGACCAATGAACCGATGGTCACCGCACCGGCTTGTTTTCTTCCTTTTCTGGTGAATTAACAAAACTTGTTGTTGTTGCATCCCGATACTAAACATTCAGTCCCAGCCATCGGAAGAGAAGAGCCGGTCCTAGCACCGCCTGCACAGCATCTTTCGTCATCTTCCGCGGCGTGCGTGGCCGTGGACGAATGTTTGTCGTCTCCTCGTCGAGTCCTCTTGGAACGGGAATGAAAGTGGATCAGGTTTTCATTTGCGTTGAAACGCGGTTTACAAGGATACGTGAAATCTTTTCGGAGACTAGAGGTGAAAGATGTTTTTGCAAGGAGGTGGCTAGCTGGTGTGCGCAGGCACTTCCGAACGGGGATTCCGTCACGAGCTGAGAAGTACATCCCATCTCACTGAATTTCAGTAGCAGACGCGACGTAGTGCTGTCTATTCAAGACATGCAAAGTCAGGGTGTATGTAGACTAGACGTTCCCGGTGCGCGAGCTCTGGTTTCACCTGTGATCGTTTGTAGCTCCCAGGTCTGTGCATCCAGACATGATGCATCTATTTCGGCAGAAACACGATTAGATACCATGTGCTTAGGATGAGCAACGTGCATTTGTTTTGTTTCCGCACTCTCCACTGGGGTGCCGACCAGAAGAAAGGCTTTTCGCCGTCAGCTTTAATCGGAAGGTCTGCGCTAAGGATCCGTGAAAAAACTCGACTCGTGAACTCATGCTCTTCGGGAGACAAGCAGTGATATTCGTACTGCTCACGATCAACCATGCATGAGAACGAGTGGACGGAGTCCGCATGAAATGCAGGCAAAGGTGACATCTTTCCTTTGCACAGGGCTTGCAAAACAATTTCCCTACTGCCATGATGAAGTGTGGGAAAGAGTGAATGCCGATTCCGTGCGCAACAGTACCAACCCTACCTAGTATCCTGTTGGATGGCGCAACAAGTTGAAGGGTGCATGCTTGCCACACCATCGTACTGCATTTCCAAACGATGACCCGGACATCCCCGAAACGATTCGTGACTGGGGATGGAGAACCAGGCACCTTTTATCTGTGCTGAAACAACAGCTACACATGCATCCATTAACAAAGCTCACAGGATTTGTGCAAGGTGGTACTGCAGATCACACCAAACGCAGTAACACAACTCCGTGGCAGCAATGCCGAATGGAAAGTTCACATTATCAGTCATTCACAACACCAACTTCTCCGGCAACGAGCCATTTCCGGCTCTGTGTGCCTATTTTGGTGACCTCCACAGCACGGCGTACAACTGCATTAACAAATGGTGACCGAAGACATTTCCCACTCGCTTGCTTTACTTCTTTTGACCTGCGATTGCTGATGCAAGCAACCGTTGCCTACCTCAGGGTTCTAGACTACCTCAGGAACAGGAACAGGACAGATTATCTCCGAGAAATATCGATTTTGGGGTGACCAGCGATTTCGGCTCTTGAATCCGTACTTTCTCCTATGTCGACTCGCTGAAGCCGCCGCTGACAAACCAGTAGTTCGGATCATGGGTAACGGGGTCGCCGTCCTCTGGACATGCCAACAAGCTCGTCGCTCCCACCGTACCACTGCTAGTACTAGGACCCGCGGATTGCGCTGTGCTGGCCATGCCCGTCATCTCTGTGCTGCCACCACCGGCAACTGCACCCAACAAATGTCCCCCTCCTCCCGAAACTACAGGCTGCGCCAAGGACGCTCTGTTCTCCGAGCTTGCAGATGCCGGTTGCTCCGACATGCCGTCAGAGGGACCAATCTGCGCCGGTTGCTTCATCGTTTCCTTTGGTCTTGCGATGTTTGCGGCGTTCATCTCTTCCGCCGCCGCCTTCAAGCGTGCCTTTCTTCTGCGTTTCTTCGCCGCGTTCTTCCCGGGCTTGCCCCAGCTAGGTGGTGGGGGTGGGACGTTGCCTGACAACAGTGGCGATTCTGACGAAGCAGGGTTGGGGGTGGTTGCGGATGACGTAGACGCAGCTGTATGCTCTTGCCTTTGCATCGCCTCCATCGAGAGATCGACCTCCCCTTTTCCATTTTTGCCCCTCGCAGGTGGTGGGGGTGGGACATTGCCTGGGGCCGGTGGCGAGAGTGAATTCCATCCAGGGTTGGGATTGTTTCCAGATGACATAGATCCAGCAGCGGCATGCTCTTGCCCCCGCATAGCTATCATCGAGACATCTCTGGGTGGCGGGTGTGTGACGAAGCGTGTCACCGGTGGCGGTATCGAGTTCCATGCAGCGTTGGGATTGTTTGCAGATGGCATAGATGTAGCAGAAGAATGCTCTTGCCTCCGCATCGTCTCCATCGGGTGGTAGACCTCCCCTTCTCCATTGATGCCCCTCCTTGGTGGTGGGGGTGGGACCAAGCCTGTCACCGGTGGCGATATCGAGTTCCATGCGGGGTTGGGGTGGTGTCCAAATGACAAAGATGCAGCAGCAGCATGCTCCTGCCTCCGCATCGCCTCCATCGGGTGGTAGATTTCCCCTTCTCCACTCATGCCCCTCCTGGATGGTGGGGGTGGAACAAAGCCTGTCACCGGTGGCGATAGTGAGTTCCAAGCGTGCTCGTGCCTGCGCATCGCCTCCATCGAGACGTAGACCGCCCGTTCTTCGTTCATGCCCCGCCTGGGTGGCGGGGGTATGACAACGCCTGTCACCGGTGGCGATCGTGAGTTCAATGCAGGGTTGGGGTTGATTGCGGATGACATCCATGCAGCGGCACCGTGCATGTGCCCCCGGCGTGCCTCCATGTAGAGATCGATCTCCCCTTCTTCGTTCTCGCCCCCACCGTGCTTCCGCGATCGATCTCCGAAACCAGATTCACGGCGTCCATTGGCAACCTTTGGTGATACTCCGTCCTTCTTCGCGCTTGCGCTAACAGCGCTCTTGGAGGGAGGTGTTGGGCCCAGCAGCGCCGCATCCCCCGCAGCTTTGGACGTCGTTGCTCCGCCTGTCTGGGACGCACTTGACGTATTCGGTACCTTCGCAAGCGAGGTCTTGTTCACGGCCTGTGATACACTGTTCTGCTTGGCACCTGCGGTCCCAGGGTCCTTGGGACTGGTTGTTGCGCCCGATGACGTTTTCGCCAGATCGATCTTGGAAACCTTCGATCTGTCTTTCTGGGACACAATGGGCGCCGCCGAGGGCACCTTCTTCGCGACCCGTGGCGCCTCACCCTTCTTCGCACCCGCACTTCCGGGACTCTTGGAGTTAGGTGTTGAGCCCAACGGTGCCACAGTCGCGGCAGCTCCGGAAATAGACGACACGCCTTTCCGTGATGTGCTAGACTTTTTCGGTGGCACCTTCTTTGCGGTAGGCGCGTTTGCGGGCGGACTCTTGGCACCCAGTGATACATCCTTCGTAGTGCCTGCACTACCGCGACTCTTGGAGATGGGCGTCGAGCCGGTGGATGATCCCGCCAAACCTTTTTTCGCAACCGTCGACCGCTCTTTCTGGGAGGTCTTGGGTGTTGTACTTGATGCCTTTGCAGCTTGTGAAACTTCCCCCTTCTTTCCATCGGTGTTGCCCGGGCTCGTGGAGCTGGGCCTTGAGCCAAGCGACCCGGGGGCTTTCGCAATCTTCGGCCCATCTTTTGGGGCATTTGACGTCTTCGAGAGTGCACTTTTCCCGGCCTGTGACACCTCTCCTTGCTTTGAGCCCGCACTCCTAGGGCTCTTGGGGCTAGGCGTCGAGATCCGCAGCGTCCCCGTCCCAGCAGCTGTGGAAGTCTCCGACCCGCCTTTCTGGGACGAGTCGGACGTTTTCGCTGGCACCTTCTTCGCGGCTTGCGACGCGCCGCCCTTCTTTGAGCCCACAATCTCAGGGCTCTTGGGGCTAGGCGTGGAGGTCCGTAGCGTCCCCGTCCCCGTCCCAGCAGCTTTCGCAGTCTCTGACCCGCCCTTCTGAGACGAGTCGGACGTTTCTGATGGCCCCTTCTCCGCGGCTTGCGACGCGCCGCCCTTCTTTGCGCCCACACTCCCAGGACTCTTGGGGCTAGGCGTCGAGATCCGCAGCGTCCCCGTCCCAGCAGCTGTGGAAGTCTCCGACCCGCCTTTCTGGGACGAGCCGGACGTTTTCGCTGGCACCTTCTTCGCGGCTTGCGACGCGCCGCCCTTCTTTGCGCCCACAATCTCAGGGCTCTTAGGGCTAGGCGTGGAGGTCCGTAGCGTCCCCGTCCCCGTCCCAGCAGCTTTCGCAGTCTCTGACCCGCCCTTCTGAGACGAGTCGGACGTTACTGATGGCCCCTTCTCCGCGGCTTGCGACGCGCCGCCCTTCTTTGCGCCCACACTCCTAGGGCTCTTGGGGCTAGGCGTTGAGATCCGCAGCGTCCCCGTCCCAGCAGCTGTGGAAGTCTCCGACCCGCCTTTATGGGACGAGCCGGCCGTTTTTGATGGCCCCTTCTTCGCGGCTTGCGACGCGCCGCCCTTCTTTGCGCCCACACTCCTAGGGCTCTTGGGGCTAGGCGTTGAGATCCGCAGCGTCCCCGTCCCAGCAGCTGTGGAAGTCTCCGACCCGCCTTTATGGGACGAGCCGGCCGTTTTTGATGGCCCCTTCTTCGCGGCTTGCGACGCGCCGCCCTTCTTTGAGCCCACACTCCCAGGGCTCTTAGGGCTAGGCGTGGAGGTCCTTAGCGTCCCCGTCCCCGTCCCAGCAGCTTTCGAAGTCTCCGACCCGCCTTTGTGGGTCGAGCTGGACGTTTTTGATGGCCCCTTCTTCGCGGCGTGCGACACGCCGCCCTTCTTCGCGCCTGCGGTACCAGGGCTCTTGGATTGAGGTGTCGAGACACCCGATGCCACCGCTCCTTTGGACTTCGAGATTGTTGTCCCTGCTTTGTTGGGCGTGCTGGACGTCGTCGGGGGAGCCTCCGTATTGTCCGTCTTAGCGGGTGCCTTCTTCGTCGATTGTGATGCTTCCTTCCTCGTATCGGCATTTCCACGGATCTTCGAGCTGGGCGCCGACCGCGGCGATACCTCCGCCGCGCCGGTCTTGGATATCTTGGACCGGTCTTGCTGGGACACGCTAGGCGTTTTCGGGGACACCTTGTCTGCGGCCTGTGACCCCTCATCTGTCTTTGCACCTGCGCTGTCAGGCCGCTTGAGAGCCTTCGATCCACCTTTCGAGGTTTGGAGGTATGCAGGGGACACGGAGGGACATGGGCGTGTTTCCTGTTTGTGTGTTCGCGACGTAGTACAGTCCGTGCACAACAACAAATCCAAATTTTCGCCATGCATAAATGATAACTTCTCTCTGCACACAGATGGTTGTTCCGATATCTCAAAGCACTGGAAAACGCCCTGTTTCCAGGCGCCTCGTGTGACGGAGATTTTTGTATTTAATTTTTTGCCCTTGACCTTTTATCGGCGCAAAACCGACAAAATTGTTGTTTTTCCAGGGGTGTGTTCGTTACCAATTTGGACAGATCTCGCAATTTGCCAGCTCGGTATTATTATTATTTTCTTGTTCTGCCAATTGGCGGAGATATCGCTGAAAAAACGATTCTAGAGGGTCAACTTGAATTTTTGGGGGGCAAATACTAACCGACCGATTCAAAACAAACAGTGGCAAACGATTCCTCTCCTCAATCTAGCTCGGCACTTGGGGTTTTGCCGGGAAAATCTGATTGTAGAGATATTCGACATTTCATTGTGCCGAATCATGGGTAATCTTTTTTGCTGGGCGACACCACACACCACACGCGGTAGCCCGAAGAAGGCAAAACACGCACGCAAGCACCATACGGGGAAGCCTGAGGGAAGACCTACGAAGAAGAAGATCGGCAATCGCGGAGCCGATGCTCGGTTGCCTTCTAAGAATCCGAAGCCCGCGCAGCAATATGAGCTTCCATCACCCGGCGCTGGTCATGAGAAGGAGGCCGAGAACGCTAAGTCGTGATATGTGTTTTACGTGCGTATGCCAGTGCTGTACAAATCTTTGTTCAATAGCTATGAAGGATATGTTGTGCGCCTGGTGCGTGCGTGTTCCCCTTCTTTCGTGTTGGGCCGGGTTTTTTTTTCAGCACTCCCTTGGGGTTGACCGCCCCGGACTGTTTGGTAGATATTAATTATACAGAAGAGTGTTGTGTTGTGCATGCGAATAGTCTGTAAATGTGTTATCGTCATGCATTGCGTAGAGTAAGGACGGGTATTAAGGACCCCCTAAGGCACCCCCCACTTAGGCAGCTTGTTCTCTGGTTTCAAGATGATTCATGAAGAGATCAAGGTATCATACGATAGCCTATAACATAGACTACATGACAAAGAANGGGGGGGGGGGTATTAAGGACCACTTTCCGGTAGTGGCCGGATACGCACGTTCTAAAGCGTTCCATGATCTGAAATTAGGTACACAGGCTTTTAGTATGACGTATGTTCGATACAAAGAAAATAAAATATATTGGTGCACACCCGGGGACAAAATGCCCATATCCCCGGTTTTTCGGCCCAGTTTTGAGGAACGGAATATACCCCTTTTGGGTGGTACTNAAAAAAAAAATCGGTGCACACCCGGGGACAAAATGCCCATATCCCCGGTTTTTCGGCCCAGTTTTGAGGAACGGAATATACCCCTTTTGGGTGGTACTGCGTGTTCTCTTGCCTTGAAACCATGCAAACGTAGTAATTTGATGAACTAATGACTTGTATGCGTCCTACTCGGACTCACAAAAAAAAATTGCGGCAATCGAATACCTATGGACGACATTATGCCTGTCCAGACATGGGGTACTTTCCCCCCCTTTTCGGCTTGTACGGCAGAAAATTCCCAAAAAATCTGCTTCAGTTAAATGAACAATTTACACCCACAACTCAACCCCCACGAGACGCCGGTTGAGAGAAACGAAGTAAACGTTGCAGAAAACGCGTTGGACAAGAAGAAAAAAAAAGCACATAGACCAGGGGACAAAAGTGCAGCATCCCCGGGTTTCTCGACAAACTGCCCGCCGGCCCGTCCCGACCCCCCCGGCGGTGCTGTTCGACCCCAAATTGCCTCAAGCAACCTCGTGAACAATATTTAACACGCTACGGTTTGAAATCGGTTCCACACGCAAACTTCAAGCCGTTCGGAGCTAATTTCACCCGGATACCAGCTGTTCTGCATCACGAAACAACCCCCCCTCGAAG